CTGTGTGTGTTAAGCAATGTGTCAGCGAGGCACACAACTAGTGCGCTCTGCGCTGGACTATAGACCTGCTATGATCTAATCTATTGAACAGACTATTATAGTTCCTCAAAATAGCAATGCGCCTAAACACGCCTCCTTTTTTAGACCAGAACGCCTATGGGCATATGAGCGCAAATCCATTTGCTATTTAAACAGGGTGTTACAAAACGTCAAAACAACTCTTGCGCCAAGCAATTGCAATTGACACTCAATGCATGTTTTTTCAACACATCACATAATTTAATTAATTAAATATTATGTGATTAAAAAATATCAACCACTTGGTAGAGGGTGATATGTCGGTTTATGGTAAAAGTACTGGAATTAATACATATACTATAAAAAATCTGAAAATATTAAGTATTTAAAAAAATATAAAAAAATGTAAATACTAAATCATCTTTATTTTTTGAGTATGCCACAAAATATATTTTAGATTCTCATTTAACATGTTTTCTTCAATTTTTTTTTACAATAAAACAAAAATCAAGTGTAGTAGTTGAACAGCATTATTTTCGTTTGATTTTCTTGCAAATCAACAATGCTGTTTAGTGTAAACCATTATTTAAATGTCTTTCTTTAAATGACTTCAATAATAATTCATTTAAAAGTCAAAACATGGTTAACCGTTTGATAGAGCAGGCAGTTGAAGGGTTAAAAATAGGGCAGGGCTTCAAAAAAAGGGTGGAGCTACAAATGCCTATGTGTCAGCATAGTTGCAGATTCAAAAACCAGACTGACATCCTATGCTATTAAGGAATAGATTGTCACTTTTATGCAGTGCTTTCCCTCTCTGATGACATGTACAAAGAGACAATGTAAATCAAAGTGTTTCTGCAGACACTAGCTATGCTAGAAGCTAGCTTCTATTCATAATAAGAATTCAATTTATGCGCAAAATAGCAATATTGCATAAAAGACGTGTGACTAAAGCAGAGTTTCCATCTAATGAGTCAAAGAGAACAAAATCGTAACTTCCTGATTAACTGGGGCCAAATACCAAAAGTAAAAACAGAATTTGATGCAGTAGAAGAAGCTGCGTGAAGCTTTTCTTCATTTAATAAATTACTCAGAAGCACCTTGGAAGACAATGCCAACAAGCAATGAATGCATTATAGTGTTTGAAGGCGTGAGACACGAAGCACAGATGCTCTCGTCTATTCTGGAGGTAATTAATAATATAGTAACATTAATACTGAAATTGTTACAGCATTTTAGAATGACCAAAACAACATTTCAGATGTTTTAAAATGCAGTCAGCCTGCTGGTTTGTCCATCCACACACATTTGTATCATCCCACGATCTCTTAAAACAAAATCACATGACTTTTTTTAAATGCACATACTTATCAAATAAAAAGATTATGCTACTCAATTATGCACAAATGATTTTATGCGCATTTTCAAAACTTATTCACATCTTGGTGTTTTTATTAACATTTTAATGCGCATAAAAATAAGTTGATGAAAACAGCTGTTGCTTTTATGAAGTGTGATTATAAAAACTAAAATGTATACATTTTACTATTAGAAGCAAGTAATAGTCACAGACAGTTGCTAAGCGATTATTATGTGTTAAAAACCCCTTATAAAAGTTTTTTTTTTTTTTTTGCAAAATAGGTCCCCTTTAAATTTCATAAGTCACCAATGACCATTATTTCAGCTAGAAATCTGCAATAATGTTCTACTGTAAAGCAAAAACCCCTATGTCATGGATGACCTGAGGGTAAATAAATAACTCAGTTTTCATTTTTGGGTAAACTGTCCCTTTAAAAGTTACTTTACAAAAAGATTCAGAAAGTTTTTTTGTTGCACTTATCAAACCCACATAAAAAGATATATCAGACTTGAATGCAATAACAACAGAATGCAATTCTTGAGGAGTGAAATGACTTCAGTAAGTTGTGAGTGTGCCATTTAGCCCGAGGGAACGGTTTTGCTTGCCAGCTTTACACACTGCACTTAATGACAGTGTTTCTCCAGCTGTCATCCAGCCTATCGGGAGAGCTGGAAACACACTGAAGTTTTATGCAGGCTGGTGAGGCAAATGAAGGACAATAAAGATGAGCTTCATTAGGTCCACAAACCCTTTACCATTCCAAAAGCATGCCATGCTGCAGCAATACCATATTCTTTATACGACAAACAAGAACCCTGCAATAATAATTTACTTGCCAAATACAAAGCAGATTTGAAAAAAAATTATACATTACATCCATAAAACAGTTAGACAAAACTGATGTGTAAATAAATAAGAAAAAACAAGTGTCTTAAAAAACATTAAAGAACAAATTTCTTCCATCAAGGATACAAATAATTAACAGCTTATATGTTGAGTAAATTCAGCCTCAATTAACCCAAAAACATGACTTTAAAGATAGTAACAGCTGGAAGTCAAGTTATGAAACTCAGCCAAAACTGTGTGCTCTAGAACAAATTTCAGAATAATGACGGCAAACCTTGCCCATTAGATATACACAAAACAAATATTTCATCCATACATACAGTGCTCAGCGTAATTGACACCCCATTTTAAAATGGAATATTTTTCTACTTTTCTCAGTGAATATAGGCAAGGTATTTTTGTGCATTTAAGCAAAACAGATTTATTAAACAGATATATTTATTGAAATAATATTTCAGTGAAAAACATATTTAGAAAGTGAAAGATAATACAATTAAATTCAAGGAAAATGTTGCAAAAAAAATTACATCCTACAAAAGTTTAACTAAATTTTTAATTATTTGTTGCTCTTGATTTTTTTTTTTTTTTTTTTAATTTGTATAAATACAAAGCATATGGTATTGCTGCAGCATGGCATGTTTTTGGAATGGTAAAGGGTTTGTGGACCTAATGAAGCTCATCTTTATTGTCCTTCATTTGCCTCACCTGCCTGCATAAAACTTCAGTGTGTTTCCAGCTCACCCAATAGGCTGGATGACAGCTGAAGAAACAGTCATTAAGTGCAGTGTGTAAATTTATATGCCCAAAAATAATATTGCATAGCTTCATATTAAAATATGAATGTAAAAGATAGATTTGTGTGGGGTGTACTTATATTTGCTGAGCACTGTAAAAACATGCATCAGAGCCAGAGGAAAATTCCAGCGGAACTGGCCGAGGTAAAGCCATTCTTGCTCGGTTCAGGAACACTGAACTTCTGCTGTTATTTAGAGCTCATACAAGTAAAAGATTACATTCCATGAACATACATCATAAAATACATCATTTGGACAACTTTAAAGTTAAAGGCATTAGCTGGTGAAGGAAAGTTGTATCAAAATCTGACTCCCAGACAAATCTGACTCCCATTCGCGAGCACGTGCTACAAGCAGCGCCTGCGGTAAAACTCGGAAAACAGCGGATAATCATAAAACTTTTATCGATCTTTTTTTCCTGCAATTGACAGCAAGAACGAACATAGACTGATCGACAGGAGCACCTCAATTTTTTCAAAATAATGTAAATTGCCAACTGGGACAAATTTATGCATTTACGCCATTATGCATCTACCTGAATCTATACTAGGAATCCATGGAGCTGCTGTGGTAGCTGAAACTCCTGTGGCCTGCTTCTGTTGTGTCAAATAAGTCATTGTTTCATGAGCTGCCAAATTATCGTATGATAATTATAAGAATTATCGTTAGGCTCACTAAATTTACTGCAGACACATTGGAGCACACTAGCTAATTGATATCCTTAAAACAGACTGAAACTAACATCTAAAATACTTTCATTTAACCGGATATTTAACGCAAAGAATTTATAAACTATTTAAATATTATCTTTAAACAAATAAATCTACAATATATAGGCGAATAGGTAAAATCTAAGGAACAATAAATGTAAATGTAGTATTGTGATGTGATCCAGTTATGTTGTAATTTTACTATTGTGATTCTGTGACTGCTGGTGGTGGTTGCTGTGTGGTTAAAAAAAATATGACAATTAAAGTAACTGTCACGATCACCAGTGATCCAGCCTGTGCAGATGGCTAACGGACTACAAATCTGCTGGTATATCGTGTTACGTTCGCTTTCAGAGTGTATTTTAGGTATATGCGTGTGCATTTGTTTGTATGTGGGTGTGTTGTTTCATGCGTGTGTTACAGGTACGAACGGAATTGGAGGATACGCATTTCGAGCTGATGACGTTGGCCGGTTTGTGTCACCAATGTTATATTTATTTCTGTGATTTAGGTACATCTAACTACTTCCTCTCCTGCTGGTAATTATCATTTATTTATTGTAAACATTTTCTTTCAGTAGTTATTTCACTAGATTCAATGGAAGCATGGGCAATAAATAATTGCAGTGATATGAGGTTTTCAATTAATTTCTTTCTCCATCCACTTGTCACACACACTAAACTATTGTATGTTATGTCAAATACCCTTAGTTTAACATCAACATCTAAAGGGAAACAATAATTGACAGCAAGTTCCAGTGATGCACCACACACACACCCATTCCAGATCACGACTGATTACACTCACACAGCTGGGAGATGTTCAAAGACTGATTAGATGGACTTTAAAAACAGCACAGACACACACATCAGTGCTGAGTCTTGTTTTATCTGTGAGTGAAAGCCTTGCTTTCCGTGTTAGACCCTTGCTTTGTTTGTTTGTTTGTATGTTTATTCCTGTCTGCTGCCTGACTTTGACCATTTGCCTGTTTATTGACCATGACTCTTGACTGCCCGTAAACATCTGTTTGCTTCTGTGTTGACTGTTGCTTGCCTGAACATTCTCTGCATAACAAACCCTGCATTTGGATCCACACTCCTTTGACAGCGTCCCACTTCACATTACAATAACTAGGCTAATTTCTGATTTAAATAGTTATTTTAATATTTTGGGTGTTTTATTTTTGTGCTTTTGGGCTGGAAAAAGTCAGCTATATCAGGCCACACTGTTCAGAAAAGTGATGGATGGAGATGTTAATGTATACTGTCTTACCCACTGCTTTACACGTCTTGGTAACTGGGTCCATCTCGTAGCCTTCGTAACACTCGCATTTGTAGTCACCTTTGAGGTTGATACATATTTGACTGCAGGCCTCTGGGTTCTCGCATTCGTCTATGTCTGGCGAGGACCATCAGAAAAGCATTAGTAACAGAGCAGAGAGACAGAGAGAACAGAGGCTTTTGTAGTGCAGTGTCCTCAGACAAGATAAATGATGCTTGCAAACGCCATCTGGGGATTTCACGACTATCAAAGTGATGACGCTAAGAGTAAACAAATCATAGATGCTTGCAATGTTGGCTCTTGGGAAAGTGGGTACAATGTAGGGCTGTGTAGCATCAAAATGTCAGTATGTGAAGCAGTATTGATGTTACCTCCACAAGTCTTCTTGTCCAGGAGCTTGTAGCCCGAGGGGCATTGACACTCGAAGCCGATCTGCCGGTCTTTACATATGTGAGAGCAGCCGCCATTGTTTATGGCACATTCATTCAGTCCTGTAATGGAAAAAAATAACAAAAACAAGAAAGGTGGTGTCAAAGGTCACAATGACTGGCAGAAACTTAACTGTAAAAGCTCATGGCAAACTGACACATCTGACGGCTAGACTGCTTGGTTCTCATTCTCTAGGCTGAGCTTGAACACTTTATGAAAAAATCAATCATGACAGACTGGGGAAAAAAATGCTCTCAGACACACAAACACGCACGCACGCACACACTTTAGGGCTACAATAATGATTCTCTTTTTCTAGTGACACGAACCACTATAAACCACCAGACAGAAATTTCACATTAGAGTTGACATTGATGCAACCTAAATAATAATAATAAAAAATAAATAAATAAATAAATAAATAATAATAATAATAATAATATTGGGACAAAACTGCAAATAATTCTGTTTAAGACCATGCGGTATCTGGTTTGAGGTTAGCATCCTGAACTAAAGCACAAAATGATGGAAAATGTCAACTCTGTTAATGTCAAGTCAGTTAGTGGTTTAAAAAGTTTAACAATAATTTAATAAACAACAATTAATAACTAAATTAAACGTTCTTAAATCAAATTCAAACATTTTGAATGATTAAATTCATTAAAAGGGATCAATCAAACAGTCAAAAAAAAAGCAATCAAACAATTGCCTAGGCTGAGCTTCAGGTTTGAAGACGTTATAAGAAAGTGATGAGGTGAGTGGAATCTAACTGAAAGACTAGCCTTAAAAGCTTGAAAATCTGTAAGAAAGAGTGACAGAATAATATGGCAAAGGTCTCGCTGGTATTGCACTCCATAATTCTTCTCTGAGCAACAAACAGATGTGGGCACTGGGTGAAGGTTCCCTCCATTAAAGATGACAGGGAGAATTCACATATATCACTCTTGTATTTCATATCTACAGTGTGCCTGCTTTTCAAAACTTGAATGCAGGAAAAAATAAATAAAAATAACATATATATATAAATATATATAGTTGTTACTACAATTATCATAGAATATTTTAATATTAATGTCTATTTTTGAGCCTGAAATTTCAAAACACTTTCTACAATTGTTATTTTAACTGTTTTCGCACATGCTGAAACAGCAAATAATAACAATATGAATTGGTAATAATAATAATAACAATAAAAAAAACAATATGTAATAATAGTAATAATACAAAATAAAATAATTATCAAAGTATGTTTAATTCTTATGCCATTGATCAATTATTCTGACAAAAATAGTTGAGACATGATGAACAATAAAAAAAGCTGAAGAAAAATATGCTTTCTCTATATATTGAGGTATACATTATAATATCAATATTTTTGTTTTAAATTAGTGAATAATAATAATAAAAAGAAAAATAAACACAAGCTACACGTTTTTTACAAACTATTATTGCAACAAAATATTTGTTGAATTATATAGCTCTTCAACATAATAATAGTAATAATGCAACATACATAATATAAATAATTTATTAATAAATATTATCCTGAAATTGTGAAATCTTTTAAGCGAATTAGAACAGAGTTTTATATTCCCTCCGAAAACTTTTTTAAAAATCTTCAAATTTGTAATTTTCTAGAGTCTCTGTTAAAGCAAAGCCAATTTCATTTTGAATGATCGGAACTGGAAGAAACCATGTTGTCAGTAAGTTCTTTTAAAGGTTTTTTTTTTCTAAATTCTGTGCCTCATTAGTTTACTCTGATTCCTCTGTTTATGATTCCTTGAAACCACTATGGGAACGGGACCAAGAAGTTCTGTTTAATCTTGAAGATTGGTCCAAGATCAGTTATGGTACTTTTACAAAATGTACCTCAATTTCCATACAAGAACAACATTTTTCCACAAAATTTATTTTAGACCTGTTAGGCGGCATCAAATTTTCCCAGCTTGTTCCGACCTGTTTTAACTGCAAAACTTGTAAGGGCACATTATTCATGTATTTTGGTCCTGTGTTCACATCAATTTTGGAGAAGGGTTCATTCCACAATCCAGGAGATGATTGGAAAATGTTTCATTTTCTCCCCCTCACTTTTTTTTGAATGACATTCCTGAAGACCTTTTTGCTCAGAGCTCTAACCTCTGTCTACAACTCTTACATTTCTGGCTAAGAAATTTCTATTACTAAAATGATCTACTTCTCAAATTCCAACTATTTCCATGTGGATTTCTCAGTTGTCAGTCTTTCTTTCTTTGGAAAATTAACCTATGACCTCAACCACAAACAGGACAAACTCAGGAGACATTAAGAACCTCTTCATTCCTTTCTACATAAACTTTTAACTTTTTATTTAAGGACAGTTCTGGCTTCTTTTATTTAGTTTTGTTTATTTTATAAATTTTTGATCATTATTATTTTTTTTAAACATACATTTGTAAATTTTTATTTAATTTTCAACGCTTGGGGATGGTATGTTTGTTTGTTTGTCTGATTGTCTTTGCCTTTGTTGTTTGTTCTATTTGAAAATCCTTAATAAAACTAAACAAATAAATAAATAAATATTTTTTGTAAATATTGTCTGTCATTCATAGATTTATATTATTATTATTATTATTAATAATAATAATAATAACAACAGCAGCAACAACAACAACAACAACAACTACAACAACAACAATAATAATAATAATAATAATAATAAATAAGAACACTAACGAAAGCAATAGGTGCCTACGCACCTACGGTGCTTGGCCCCTAATAATAATAATAATAATAATAATAATAATAATAATAATAATAATAATAATAATAATAATAATATTATGCTGGTTCGAGCCTCTGCTGGCTCAGTTGGCGTTTCTGTGTGGAGTGTGCATGTTCTCCCTGCGTTTGTGTGGGTTTCCTCCGGGTGCTCTAGTTTCCCCATGTGGTACAGGTGAATTGAGAAGGCTAAATTGTCCGTAGTGTATGTGTGTGAATGAGTGTGTATGGATGTTTTTATGAGATGGGTTGCAGCTGGAAGGGCATCCGCTACGTAAAACATATGCTGGATAAGTTGGCAGTTCATTCCGCTGTGGCGACCCCAGATTCATTTGTGGACTAAGCCGAAATGATAATGAATAATAATAATAATAATAATAATAATAGTAGTAGACAAACAAATAAATGATGTGTCTTGGTTTGCACACACTATACAACACTCACAAAGCACCCTGACAGAGTAAAACAGACAGGTAAAGGAAGAAGGAGAGGAAGAGAAAAGGAGAAAGAGAACAATAGCTGATGCTAATGCTGAGGAGCAGCTGACAGCAGGAGATAGACGAGGGACAGAAACACTACAGGAAGTTCAAGCAAAATGGGGGAAAGAAACGATGAAAGGAGACAGGCTGAGAGAGGACGAAGGACAAAGCCTGTGGGTAAGAGAAATGCACAAGTCAGGGACGTTCTCTGTATAGCAAAAAAAAATGCATTTTCTCCAGTCCACATATGATGCATGTATAACAAGAAAAGGATGCACTGGTGAACGTGACAGAAGTGTAATCCCTGGCACCGGGCCGAGAGATTTAGCATGCATAGCTGCGGTGGCCCACTTGGAGCCAGCCCAGAATGCATTGGGCTCGGAGCATCAGGTGCCTGCACTAATCTCATCTGCTAGAGTGGAGGAAATGAATAGTATCCTGAAGAGCCTCAATGAGACGATGTGTTTCACATTAAATAGTGAACATAACTATGAGGACAGGGAGATCTGAGAGCAAGGTGTTGGCATTTCCTAAATACCATATCCATCAAATTACTATACAGCCACAAGCTGCTAGAAGAGAATCTGAGCATTTGGTTAGTAACTTATTTTTTTCTTATGAAGGTTAAGTGTGTAATCTCAACCTCAATAGCAATGCCAAACTAACTTGCATAAATAACTTTTAGGTTTTTAAATATTATGAAGAAAAAAGGAGGCTTATATATGTCATGATTTAATGCAGAGCGCCTAAACATTTTCTTATGAACGGCCAAAAAATAAACTTGATTGAGGGTGGTGAGCCGAAGTTAAATAAACTATTACATTAAAGTTGTCATGGTAATTCCCTAATTTATTAATACATTCATTCATTCGTTTTATTTTCGGCTTAGTCCCTTTATTATTCTGAGGTTGCCACAGCAGAATAAACCACCAACTTATCCAGCATATGTTTTACGCAGCGGATGCCCTTACAGCTACAACCTATCACTGAGAAAAAAGAGAGAAATCTATGCGCACTCACACACATACGCTACGGACAATTAAGCTTACCCAATTCATATAGTGCATATCTTTGGACTGTGGTGGAAAGTGGAGCACCCGGAGGAAACCTACGTGAACACAGGAAGAACAAGCAAAACTCCACACAGAAACACCAACTCACTCAGCCGGGGCTCAAACCAATTTTTTCAAAACATTTTTTTAAGTAAATATTGTGCAATTAAAAAAAATCCCTTTAATAATAATAATTATTATTCCTTACATTTATATAGAGATTTTTTAGGCACTCAGAGCGCTTTTACACAATGGGGAGAATCTCCTCATCCACCACCAGTGTGCAGCATCCACCTGGATTACGCGATGGCAGCCATTTTGCGCCAGACCGCACACTACACACCAGCTGATTGGTGGAGAGGAGAGAGAGTGATGAAGCCAATTATGATATGGGGAGGGTTAGGAAGCCATGATGGACAGAGGCCAGTGGGCAGATTTGGCCCATTTTAACGACCACAGAGAGTCAGGACCTTAATTTAATGTTTTATCCGAAAGACAGCGCTCACAGAGCAGTAAAGCGTCCCCCTCACTATACTGGGGCATTAGGACCCACACAGACTGCAGGTTCAGCACCCCCTGCTGGCCTCACTAACACCACTTCCGGCAGCAACCTAGCTTTCCCATGTGGTCTCCCATCCAGGTACGGATCGGGCGCAGCCCTGCTTAGCTTCAAATGCCCTTTATTGGGATAAGACAGTGGAGATTTTACAGACAGGAAAGTGTGGGGAGCAGAGATAGGGGAAAGATCGGAAAAGGACCTTGAGCTGGGAATTGAACTCGGGTTGCCATGAGCACCTTAGTGTTATATTTGTCGACGCACTAACCCCTAGGTTATTGGCGCCGACTGTTTAAACCAATTTTATTAATATTTAAGAATAAATTTTAAATGTGCCTTAATTACATTTTTAATAATTATATGTTTTTTACATTTTATAATAAACTTCTTACAACAAAAACAAACAATCCCATTTATAACACAATAGTGCTCAATGATGAATACCTTGAATACTCTTGATTTGCTCATCAAGGACCCTTACATTAAAAAAAAAAATCTGATTCATTCATTCATTCATTTTCTTTTCAGCTTAGTCCCTTTATTAATCCTGGGTCGCCACAATGGAACGAACCGTCAACTTATACAGCACATGTTTTACGCAGCGGATGACTATCCAACTGCAACCCATCTCTGGGAAACATCCCTTACACACTCATGCACTACATACAAATTAGCTTACTAAATTCACCTGTACCGCATGCCTTTGAACCCACGTAAACATGGGGAGAACATGCAAACTCCACACAGAAATGCCAGCTGACCCAGCCGAGGCTCGAATTAGCGACCTTCTTGCTCTGACAGCACTACCTACTGCACCACTGCGTTGCCTAAATCTGATTCATACATACTTAATTGAAACATTTTATTTGCTTTTTTCTTTCTCAACAATTGAACAAACAAACAAACAAAAGGTTATTTTAAAAATAGAAATGACGAGGTCTGTTAAAGGCATTGGCACCAACCTTCGCATTATTCTCCCTCTCTTCTCAGATAGAATGGAGGGCCAAATCAAAGATTCCCATTGGGCAACTTTGCCCAGTGTGCCCTAGTTTGGCCATCTTTAGTATTATGTAACAATGTCAACTAAGGGAATGTCATCTAAGTGACTAAATGCACAATCCTGTGGGTCGGTCAGTATTCTTTGTAATGGTTTCCTCATGGTTATGTGTTAGCACTTCATTTATTTTCTATATTTATTTATGATTCCAGTTGTGAAATAAGTCCAGCTAAAATACATTTAGTGTATATACTGATCACAGATGACTGCAAACAGCAGCAGCACATTTAGGTTGTAATATTTTATCAACAATCTTTTTTTCTCACAAAGGTTAAATATGTAATATCAATCTCCCTTGCAAAAAACAAACTGGAACTGCATAAATAACTACATCTTAAAAAAGAAAATGTGATCTACCTCTACCACTTCTACACCTGTCCAACTTATCAATGTGTAGTTAGTAAGATATTTCTAATTGACTGCCTGCAAGTCAGATATTTTAGTCAATGGCATGACTGAGCCTGTGGATAAAATCAAATAAATCTAATTATTTGAAATACAATTAACAAAACTATTGACTTAAATCTAAATAAACATTTTAAAAGATATTTAAAAATGTAAACAGTAATATTATAATATTAAAATGAAAAAAAAAAAAAAAGAACAAAACTAAAAGTCAATCCAAATATTAGTAATAGCATCGAAATACTACAATAACAATTTAAAACTAATGTTGAATATTAAAAATAATTGCATTAGATATTAATAACAATAACAATTGTTTACATCAGATTGTTTCTCCATCTGCTATTCAAACCAAGAAAGGTAGACCTGCTCAAACCAATACACTTCTACAAAAGCACAAAGTATACTTCAGTTTATATGGAGGGCCAGTGTTCTGGAGAGTTTAGCTCCAATCCTGATCAAACACACCTGAACCAGCTCATTAAGGTCTTGGTAGATATACTAAAAACTTTCCTGGCAAGTGTGTTCAAGCACGTTGGAATAAAACTCAGCAGGACACCGGCCCTGCAGGACCGAGTGTGGACACCCCTGACCTACACTGTAATATAAATATAACATAAAGTCATGACTACAAATGTTTGAAGTTATGTAACTCAATATTTTAGTCAGTTTGATTGAAATAAGTTGAGAAAAACCTAAGTTGATCCCACTAAAATAATTATGGCAGCAAGCATTTTTTTACAGTGCATGCAATAAATGCCCACCTTGAGTATATTAGAGGGCATTAAAAGATATCCACAACTGTTTTAAACAAGTACAAAGACATTCTAAGTGATCATAACTTTTGGAGAGAAAATCTGCTGATAATGAACAAGGATCAATATTTCAATAGTATATATGCGTTAACATAAAAAAAAAATGCACAGACTTTTTCAGCTCCAGCTTATCACTGAAGAAAAAGTCCAGTTCCTCAGTGTGATGAAAGACAAGACCAGAGAAAGAGAAAAAAAGCAGATCTATGGAAACCTGCTTTCTCTGAGGAGAGCATGCTGGGCACGTTCTCCTTGTATGATGGCACCCAAGGGAAGACGCTTGCTTTGATCATAATGATCGCTCTGTGGCTTGTTGGCCCTTGATCAACAGAAGCCTACACTAATAAGCCAACACTGCCTATAAGCTCCAATTCTGATCCAGAATCACTTTTCCCTCTTCAAATCCAGCATTACTAGTTAGAAAGAAAAAGCTGACCGTAGATGACCTGCTCTGAGCAACTTCATTTAATACTCGCTTATGAAAAACAAATATCTTCACCTCTAAAAGACAGTGTTCAGACAATTTCAAATAGTTTTACCTTTGGCTTCCTTTCATAAAACTACAAAGTAGTCATACAGCAATCAATTATTTGTATTTTCAGGGTTTCTGCAGCTTTCAGCAAGTTAAATTTAAGACTTTTAAAGACATTTTTTAATATAATGAATGACATTTTAGACTAAGGAGTTGTTCAAATGGTCAAGTTCGAATATATATATATATATATATATATATATATATATATATATATATATATATATATATATATATATATATATTTGTAGCTTAATACATTTAATATATATAGTAATAATAAAAATATATATGCATATTTTAATTAATTCTGAAAAATTAATTCTAAGAAAAATAATTAAACCATTATGGCAAATGGAGTTCAAAATTACATTCTTAAGCAAAAATAAAAGTTTTATTGAGATGGATTGTTGGTGATTGGATGAGTGTTGGGCAAATCGGTTAGCTATACATAAACAAAGGAAAATTGAGATTCGTGGATACCCTGATTTTATCAGTATTTATTTGTAAAACATTTACTGAAACATGCTGTGTTATTTAATGGAATGAATGCCAAGTATTAAATTTGTTTAGGCTTGACATTTAAAACAAACTTTGTTTAGTTGACATCTGTTTGTGGTTTTATTTAGTGCTACCTTTCGCTAAAACTAAAGGTTAATCAAAAATTAAATCATAAATAAATAGAAACAGTAAAGCCTAAAACTTAAAAAGGTCTTAAAAAAAAACAACGAAGTAACATTAAATTACAATTAAAACTGAACCTAATTATTTAAAAATAGAAAAACTATTCAAAATATAATATAATATAATATAATATATATATATATATATATATATATAAAATACATGCAACAAAGGTCCAAAGGTATATAAAAATAAATATTTCTTTTTGAAGATCCACCATATGTATTTATGCAAAAGTGCTAGACTCACCGCACTCCTTCACAGGCTCATCAGACCAGTCTTTGCAGTCCCTGATAGTGTCACACACTTTGCTGCTATCGATACACTCCCCACTCTTACACATGAACTTCAGCGGCCCTTCACATTTATTGGCTGTGAATGACACAAAATAAAAGGTTTTTACACTTCTGATCTTTCAAGAGTACCACAAAAACAATCTGAATTATGTAGAGTGGGAACTGCTGTTACACCAAACACATTTTCAAATGACACTCTTGGATTTTTTGCTGCATGATGACAACAGACATTGAAAAGAGGCTGTCAACCTTAAAGCAAGCACATAAAATCACTATAAAGTCCATTTATAAATTGAAAATCTTCTAAAGCCTGTGGAAATCTGTGGCTTTAGGGAATTTGGAATATGATGCATGAGGTATAAGCCTTGCTTAAAGTGGAATATAATGAAAATCTGGATAGACAGTGCTCAGCATATACAAGTACACCCCTCACAAATCTCTCTTTTAAATTCATATTTTTTTAATAGGAAGCTATACAATTTTATATTTGTGCATATACATTAGGTTAGTCAGTATTAAAGCCAAATCTGGAGCTTAGTTAACAAAATAACTTACGATAACGGTCCAAAAAACTAGTACACCCAAATTTATATGTTATAGAAAAATATTAAATACAAATTTTAAAAAGAGGAAAAATCTCATTCTTATGTTAATTTAGTGAGTATGAGTCCAATCAGAACAAAACACAGAGTCTTTCATTAATACAGACAGATAATACATTAACAGATTATTAAAATGCACACTCATGGCGGTGTTTGTACAAAGTTTCTAATGAGATTACGACAATGATCATTGTTTCCTCTTTATTTAAGTTTATCTGAGTTTATAATGAATTTATTGTTTGTGTGGGACTCTTATTTTGAAAACATGCAAAGTATCATTGTTATGGTGCTCGGCTGTAGCACTGATTAAATAAACAGAGTGATGACAGATGACATTTGATGACCTAAAATTGTCTGTATGCACAAAAGTCTGCAATTTCATTCAGATCATTTAAGCATTTTATTTATGCAAATGTGTGAAAATTTATATTCATTCAGTTTTTATATTAATTCAGGAATATTGTTGAATAATATGCAAATGTTTATATGATGTATGTACAATACAGCTTGTAAAGTAATATTACAATGCGTAATAGGTAGCCTTTTAGAACATATATGATATGAGAGACTGATGTCATTTACCAAACAAGTGGTTCTAACTTGATTTGCGCTGTAAACCTTAAACATTTTCAAACATTATCATTTTTTTTTTAATTTCATGTAAGAAGTTTTTAGTGACTTTGCTCTCAAAATCATTGTGCATAAATCAGCAGATAATGTGCTGAAATAGTAACAGGGTATATGCAGCAATCTTAAAGGTAATTTCAATACTTTTATAAGACTTTTTAAAGACCTTCTTAGAATATTTGAAGACCTCAACGCTAATTCAAGTTCTAATCAGAATCAAACCTTTAACTTAATAAACAGTTGTTAATAAAAAGTTGTAGTTAAATAAATCAATGGAGCACAACCATGCAACAGAACTCAGATAAGCTCGGAAGAAACAAACTTAAAAGAATAAATTACGTTGTTGATTTCAGTGACAGGCTTCAGCCACTGTCTTTATCCAATCAGGAGTACGCAAACGTACATTTAGCAATTTTGTTGTCTGTTTCGCTCTATAGTTTCGCTATATGCAGAGAGCGTCACATTACCTTCCCACGTTTGTCGCATATTACGTGACAACACCCGGACAAAGGAGCTTGGCTGGATGCGCCCGGCCCGAACCAATCACATGGATCAAGGAAAATAAGTATAGTGGGGTCAAACACTTCGGACAATGCTTGAACAAAATTTAAGACCTCGTAAAAACCCGATTAAGACTTAATTATCTCATAATTTATTTATTAACCTTTAATGCTTTTTAAGACCCTGCGGACACCCTGAGTAAAAAAATATCTGCAGGATCTGACTCTGCACACGAGGAAACAACTCCACACAGAAGTATTGCCATTAGCATATAAATTTAAAATTTGCTTCTCTGATTTAAGACTATTTTAAGGCCTTAAGAATCGCAGAAATCTAGAGCAACCCAGATAAAAGTCTACTAATGTCACACAAAAGGAATTTGGAATGACATTAGGATAATAAAACAAGAGAATTAAAAGTCTAATTGATAACTATTTTAAATAATAAGCATCTTCCTGGATAAACATAAATGTTTGGACCTGGATGGATCATCCAACCACATCCATAATAGTATCCAGGGCTTTATATTAAAACCCGCCAACCCGCCAAATCCGGGTAAATTTCAGCTTTGGCGGGTTAGACAACACCTCTACTAGCCACTTTGGCTGGTTGAAAATCATTTTTAAATAGTAGTTTTCCTAAAAGCAGTGTTCAACAGTATAAGGATGACCCAATATGCATGCAAATGTGATCTAAGAATCAAGAAATAAAATAATTGTGATCACGCGAGCAGAAGAAAGCAAGTGAATACCGAATGAGATAATGGTCTTTACTCGCGCTAACAGCTGATGTGATACGCGCGACTTCTTAAAACGCGTGCGCGCGACTGCTTAACGCTTGCACGCTCCCGAATCGTGAAGCAACCGTGTCTGGAACGTTCTGGAAACGCAACTGTCACCGGTTCTCTTTCAGATAAACTAGACAAAAAGTGATGAACATGCATCCACAGTCCTGATGCTTTTAAGAGCTCAAAATGTGTCTTTTTGTAAGCAGCACCGGTTGCTTTCACTTTGAACAGATTATTAAATCATTTTAATAATTTATTTAAACAAGCTATTTTGCTTGTTTTGACACATTAAACATTTGTGGCTAAGAAATAATTATTGTTTAGTGTGGTTAGAGATAAATTTGGTAAATCGTTAATTTTGAGCTCTAAAAAAAAGTCATGAAAAATAAAAACTAATTGCAATATAACACTATGAAACGTTCGAGGTTACTAAAGTAACCCTTCGTTCCCCGAGGAGGGGAACGGAAGCACTATAAGTGGATTTGATTGTAAAATCAAAAAAAAACGCATTGGGAGGTTCGGTTCAGAAGCTACTCGTCTGAAAGAGTATTGAACGGGCCAATTAAGAATGAATTGGCAGCGCAAGCCTGCGCAGGTGAGCGGCATAAGCAATCAACTGAGTATATAAGCTCACCTGGCGCCAGCAGACGCTATCCTTTTTAAGCTGAAGAGACTTTCAACAGCTAAGGGACAGTCATTATGGCGACGGAGTATAGTGCTTCCGTTCCCCTCCTCGGGGAACGAAGGGTTACTTTAGTAACCTCGAACGTTCCCCTTCGGGGGGAACTTCAGCACTATAAGTGGATTTGATTGTAAAATCCACGCATTGGGAGCCCACTGAAAGCGCCATAATGACTGCACCTTACCAACACCCCCGATGAGGAGATAGTCAAGCAAGCGTGACGCACCCACATCATGGGGGGCGCGGTCCTCCAACGTGTCCCTGGCCCTAATTTATCCTACTTCAACAGAAGTTTTACGGATTTATATATATTTTTTGGGAAGTCGTGAGCATCTAGATAATTCTAGGAAAATACGACAGTACGTTGGGAAGCGTGCAATCCCGATAGGGAGGACGCTGCGGAGGCCATCCGTTACCCAAGGGGGGATAGATGGCAGAATTTACATATGGACTAGCCCTAAAAAGGGGGAGTACGCATAGCAAAAGAGTGGTTAGCGGGGAGGGAAGACACGGGTCCGCCCAGGGGGGGGACTTAACCGTGGCGGAATAAGCATATGGGATCGCCTAGTGGGGATCACGCATAGCAGGCACCTTTACCCAAAACGCGGGCTGACCAGCGGGCAGACCTACAGCGTAGTGGGCCAGCAAGTGACTCCTCCGCTGAGTCAGTGCTGGGGGCCACGGAGGAATCTGCAGGGCTCACCTGACGGGGAACTTTACTGACAGATAAAAAGGCGCACGTATCTCCGTGTTAGGGAAAATGGCGCAGCAAGCGTGTTTCAACACCCTACCGAATTGTTTCCTCAATCACCAAGGGTTACCTAATACCCTTGAGGAAACCGGCTCCACTCGCAGATTGTAAAACCTTGCAAATGTGTTGGGTGTCACCCAGCCCGCAGCTCTACAGATGTTTGTTAGAGGGGCGCCGCGTGCGCGCGCTCGAGAGGATGCGAAGCTCCGAGTGGAGTGCGCACGCGCTCTCGGGGGACGCGGCTCACGGCTCTGATAGTGAAAGAAAGGCATCCACAATCTAGTGGGAATTTATTTCGGTACGGCACTTCCCTGCTGCCGACCGCTATAACAGACGAAGAGCTGCTCAGATGATCTAAACTCTGAGTGCGGTCCGGATAATACGCAAAACGCGAACTGGACAATAAGAAGGGCTGGGTCTGCCTCCTCCGAGGGCAGCGCTTGCAGGCTCACTACCTCGTATTAAACGGAGTGGTAGGAACCTTGGGCACATATCGCGGGCGGGGTCTCAGGACGTGAGAGAAGCCAGCCCAATTACAGGCACGAGTCACTGACCGAAAAATGCCTCCGGGTCCCCGACCCTCTAATCGATATCAACGCGACCAGCAGAGCTGTCTTCAGGGACAGAAATATACTGAGTCGAGGATCGAAGGGATCTGACGCGGCTTGTGTAGCGAGGGCGAGATCCTAAGAGGGCATGAGAGGGGGCGGGGTGGATTAATTCGCTTAATGCCCCTGAGGAACCGGATGATGAGGTTATGCGTTCCCACGGTGCTGCCAGCCACCGCGTTATGAGAGCGGAGATGGCAGCCACGTAACCTTGAGTGTGGAGGGCGACAGCCTGCTCTCCAACTTCTCTCGGCGTAAAGAAAGCACAACGCTGATCTGGCAAATTACGGGGGTCTTCTCAGCGAGAGACACACCATTCAGTGAATAGACTCCACGTCAGGGCATAGGCGCGCTCGGGGAGGGGGCTCTAGCCCGAGTGACGGTATTAGCCACCGCAATCGGAGGTTACCTAAGTCTTCCTCGCGTCTAAAAATCTCTTCAAAGATCGGCGAGGGTGCCAGGTGGTGCCCTGTCCCTGAGAGAGTAGGTGCTCTCTCGAAGGGACTGCCAGGGGAGGGCTATCGCGAGGGAGAGCTCTGACATCCAGGTCCGGTTGAGCCAGAGGGGCGCAACCAGCAACCTGTTTCTCGTCCTCCCTGACCTTGCACAGTAACTGCGCGAGCAGGCTCACTGGGGGAAACGCGTATTTGCGCGTGCCCCGAGGCCAGCTGTAAGCCAGTGCATCCGTGCCGAGAGCACTCGGTCAGGGAAAGAACAACTGGCAATGAGCGATCTCGGGGGAAGCAACAGATCGATCTGGGCTTCCCCGAATCGTGCCCATATCAGCTGAACAGACTCGGGGTGGAGTCTCCATTCTCCAGGACGCAAAGCTGCCGTGAGAGCGCATCGGCTGCACGGTTGAGCTTGCCTGAATATGAATGGCGTGCAGCGATTTCAGCCGCGGATGACTCCAGAGGAGCAGACGGCGGGCGAGCTGAGACATGCGGCGAGAGCGCATACCCCCTTTACGGCTGATATACGCCACCGCCGCCGTACTGTCCGTCCTGACCAGCACGTGTTGCCGCTCCAGCACCGGAAAAAAACGGTGGAGAGCGAGGAACACTGCCAACAGCTCCAGGCGATATGCCAATGCAACTGGGTACCTTTCCACAGGTCCGCAGCCGCATGCCCGCAACGCACAGCCCCCCAGCCCGTGTTGGAAGTGTCTGCTGAAACGACAACAAGACTGGACGCCTGTTCTAGAGACACCCAGGCCTGTAGGAACGAGGGGTCGCTCCAAGGGCTGAGGGCGCGGCGACACAGCGCAGTAACAGAGACTCGGTGTGCGCGCGCGTGCCATGCGCGTCTGGGGACTCGATCGTGAAGCCAGTGCTGAAGTGGTCTCATATAGAATAATCCGAGCGGCATGAAGCGGCTGCGGATGCCATATGCCCCAGGAGCCTCTGAAATAGTTTCAGTGGGACCACTATTTTACTGTCGAGCTCTCTCAGACAGTACAGCATCAGCTGAGCGCGCTCTCCGGAGAGGCGCGCTGCCATGGTGACCGAGTCCAGCTCCAGCCTGAGAGAAGAGATCCTCTGCACGGGGGCGAGTTTGCTCTTTTCTCGGTTGACCTGAAACCCCCACAGGTGGAAGTGCCAGAGCACTTTGTCTCTGTGCATAATCAACTGCTCCGAGAGAGGGCAAAAATCAGCCAGTCGTAAAGAAATTGAGTATGCAGATGCCCGCGAGCCGAAGGGGCGCTGAGGCACCCTCCGCGGGCTTGGTGAGGACCCGCGGAGACAGAGAGAGCCCGAAGGGGAGGGCTTTGTATTGCCAAGCTCGACCTTCAAACGCAAACCGCAGAAACTGTCGGTGGCGAGGAAGAGTGGAGACATGGAAATACGCGTCCATCAGGTCTAATGCTGCAGACCAACCCAGAGGACGAACGCACCGGAGGATGCGCTTCTGCGTGAGCATTCTGAACGGCAGCTTGTGCAGGCAGCGGTTCAAAACGCACAGATCTAGGATTGGCCGTGACCCACCGCTCTTTTTGGGCACGATGAAGCGTGGGCTGTAAAACCCGCTCTCCATCTCGGCTGGAGGGAGCGGCTCGATTGCATCCTTCGCCAGGAGGACAGCAATCTCCTCTCGCAAGACAGGGGCGGACAGGGGGCTGACCCTGGTGAATACACACCCGTGACTTGGGGGGCCGTTTCGCGAACTGAATCGCATAGCCGAGTCTGATTGTGCGTATGAGCCACCGCGAAGAGCTGGCCCGCGCTAACCAGGCAGGCAGAGCTCTTGCTAATGGACTCATCGCTACAATCGCACGTACCAGCAGTGGGGCAGCGCGGAGTGGGTGTGCTGATCCGGGAAGCTCGCGGGTCCCACGGAAAAGCTGGAGGTGAGATATTTGCTCTCACTCCAAACCCGAGCTCCGGAGGGGAGGCTCGAGGGGTGGGAGAAAGGAGACCGTCCTCCCAGCGCTCGTGAGCCACTGGCGAAACGCACCGAATCTGCAAGCTAGAAAGCATAGCGTCCCAGACTGGCAGATTTCGGGCTGTCACATCTGGGGAAGTGAAAAGTGCCCTTTCATAATGTTTTCATGGCAGTAAAAAGTGCCGTTGGAAATGGGGCCCCGCCCTCCAGCGGGGAAAGAGCAAGTTCCCTTTTCTCCAGATGGCCTGTCCCAGGGGCGCTTCGCGGTCCGTTGCCGGACTTAGCGGCGTTCTGGGCAGGGGGGCTGCCTGCTTCCGAGGTGCCCGACGCGCTCGCTTCGCCGGAGGCGTGTGCGGGGGCGGAGCAGCTCTCGTAGGCGGGCGCCTTCGGCGAGGAGCAGGTATGAATGGCACGGCGGGCGGAGCGGGCTACGGACCGCCGATAAGACATCACCCACCAACTGCTCTCTCACCGCCTTGAATTCCTGGGTGAATTCACAGACAGTGTCGCCGAACCTGGCTGGGGATATGGGGAAGTCAAGAAAGCGGACTTTGTCGACTTTGCGCATATCAGCCAGGGGTGGCGCTCCTGGACCACTAATGTGGACATCGTCCTCCCCAACGCACACGCAGCGGACTCAGTAGTCCGAAGAGCTAAGTCGGCGGCGGTGCGAAGCTCGTAAACCTGGGTTGGACCCACCCTCGTGCTGCTCGGCCAGCGCCTGCGCTTGGTAGCGCTGGTAGGTGGCTATCGCATGCAAGGCGGAAGCAGCCTGGCCCGCAGCTATGTAAGCTCTAGCTCCGAGGGAGGTAGATAACTTACAGGCTTTGGATGGGAGACGAGGCGGACCCCGCCAAGAAGAGGCGCCGCGCGGATTTACCGCCATCGCGCACTCAACCTGAGGAATCGCCACATACCCCCTGGCTGTTTCACCGTCAAGAGTGGTTAGGGTGGAGGAACACGCAGCACGAGCAGAAAAAAGTGCTTTACAAGACCGCGTGAGCCTACTGTGCACCTCCGGGAAGAAGGGAACGCCCCTCTAGTCGGTCCGGCCGCGGAGCTGGGGGATAAACCATCTCCAACCCACGGCCGAAGCAGCCCGGGAAAGCACGGCTAACATGTCCGTTTCAGGATCCGTAGTGACAGCGCTCACCAGCCCGAAGGGGGCGAGCGGGTCTGGATCATCATCGGACAATGAAAGCCCACCCTCCGATGCCGCGGTGGACATCTGGTCTCCGGTGTCATCGGGCGTAAGGGCTACCATCTGTTAGACGGATCGCTTCCCCCGCCCGAAGCTTGGATAGAGCGCTTAGAGGAGCGGGAGGTCCGCGGGCCCGTGGGCGACGGATTATCTCTCGCTGAAACCCTCAGATCTGCCCGAGTGCCCGCTGCAGAGCAGGGGACAACTGGGGTGGTTCATCCTTTTGCAAAGGCTAACCGCGATCTTGCGCAACAGTCATGGCATCGCAATGACGACATGAACTGCCCGCGAGCAGCGCATTAACATGCTGGACCCCCAGACATGCAACGCAGTGCCCGCGCCCATCATCCGAGGACAGGAAACCACCGCATCCAGAAACGCACAGTCGGAGCGCCGTCCTGATAAGGACGTGCTGCACGACTGTGTTGCTCTTTCTGTGAAGTTTGCAACTTTATACGCACCGCTATGGAGGACCGGACCCAAAGAACGCCAGGCAAGGGAGAAACCCAGCTCGACCGTCTGCCACTGCGTGTACACACTCTGGACCGGGAGAATGCTCTCGTTCGCTCAGAATCGCTGGTCACAGCAGGAGGAACCCTCATCGACTCGATCAGAAAGTCTCTGAAGCGAAAAGGATAGCGTCTGCTGGCGCCAGGTGAGCTTATATACTCAGTTGATTGCTTATGCCGCTCACCTGCGCAGGCTTGCGCTGCCAATTCATTCTTAATTGGCCCGTTCAATACTCTTTCAGACGAGTAGCTTCTGAACCGAACCTCCCAATGCGTGGATTTTACAATCAAATCCACTTATAGTGCTGAAGTTCCCCCCGAAGGGGAACCATGACTCCTTTGCTCATGCTCATTGAGCAAGCTCATACTCGACTAACAAAAAGTGAAATAAATAAGGACACATGTGGCCATAACACAAAATTTAAATCAAGTAAATTTAGCATGTCAAAGTCAAATTTATGCATATAAAATATATTTTCCCAACAACAAAATTGTGGCTAGTAAAAATGCAGAGTGGCTAGTAACATTGGAAAACTAGAAGCCACAGTGGCCAGTGATTAAAAAAGGTAATGTAAAGCCCTGATAGTATTCATAAACCTAACCAAATACAAACACAGGGCACTAATTGGTCGACATGAATTATGATCCAATGTACTCAAAATAAATAAAATGTGTTATGCATCAATCACCAGATATAACCATGGAATAATGAATCTTTCAAGGTGATTTTGATTGAAGGTGCCATATGGGAAGTGTGCCACAGAACCCTGGCATCATGTAGGAGTACATCTGCTTGGTCTCGAAGTGCTTTGTGTGAATGCTAAGTTGATTGGGGCCGCATGATTGGGCTCACTCTAGCCTTTCATCTTCAGTGAAAAACGCTGCTGGAATAGAGGCGAGATGAAGAGGCTAATCAAATGGGAGACTGTTGAAGCTACTCACTTCTGTTGACGCAGCCGGCCTCATCGCTGAAATCTGGACAGTCGTGCACTTTGTTACACTGTTTAGTGCCGTGAATGCAGGAGCCGTCGCCACACTGGAACTGATCAGGACGGCAGGTCAACACAGCTGCAGGACACAAAACAAATTCGCATGTGAGACTATTGTTTTCTTATTTATCAGTCTGGCCAATTAAGCAAGCAATCTTTTGGAGATTATCATGGCAGCAGGAAATTGCGGAGCAGAATCTGGCTTAATCCCAGTTTAAGTTGGAGCTAACAGTCTTTCAAGTAATAATGTTAGTTAATTTCCAGTATGAAAAATAAATAGTCCCTCCTGGATTTTACAGGGACATTTTTTATTAGTATATATATATATATATAAATAAATAAATAAATAAATATATATATATATATATATGCAGCCTAAAATGACTGATTTAGTGATAGCTTGTCACCAAATCTATAGATTTATTTGCTTCAATTATTGTGTTTTGTGAAAACACACTAAAATCTTGTAAAATGTATATATTTTTTTCATCTCACTAACCATTGGTATTCTAAAAACCTGGGTGGAATGACTGGACATAAATGTTTTTATTATTATTCAACAGTGGTTTATTGAAGAATTTATGACTTTGTGAAAGTTTAAAGTTTTTGTGAAAAAAAAGGTGACAGTTTTGGAACAAGTGAAGGTTGGGAAAATGATGACAGAATTCAGCTTTGGGTGAACTATAAATTTAAGTATTAAAAAAAAAAAAAAAAAAATCCGTAGTGTATGTTTGTGAATGAAAGTGTATGGGTGTTTCCCATTGATGGGTTGCAGCTGGAAGGGCATCCGCTGCATAAAACATATGCTGGATGAGTTGGAAGTTCATTCCGCTGTGGCGACCCCAGATAATAAAGGGACCAGGCTGAAAAGAAAATAAATGAATGAATGAATGCATTGGGGTTCTGTTCCTTTAACATTTCAATTTATTTAAAAAACACTCTAGCTTTTTTTCTTTTTGAATCCATTCAGATGATCTCCCGGTCTGATGAAAGCACTTTTAGCTAAGCTTAGCATAGATCATTAAATCAGATTAGACTATTAGCATCTGTCTCAAAAATGATCAAACACAAAGATAATTTTCCTATGTAAAGCTTGACTTCTGTAGTTACATTGTGTACTAAGACTGATGGAAAATGAAAATACTGTACCTATTTTCTAGGTTGATATGACTAGGAACTATACTGTCATTCTGGCATAATAATTAAGAAACTTTGCTGCTGTACCATGGCGGCGTCTAGCAAGGTTTCTTATTACACTAAAATGAGCTTATAGTTTCTAGCCATAACGATCTAGAAAATTAACATGTTTCATTTTCCCTCAGTACACAATGCAATTATAGAATAGTCAAGTTTATATAGGAAAATGATCAAAACTCTTTGGTCACTTTTAAGAGGAATGATGCCCAATTTAATGATCTATGCTAAGCTAAGCTAAGTTAAAACAACTCCTGCCAGATCTGATCTGCTGAATAGATTGAAAAAAATGGTAAAAGTCAACTCTTTAACTTGAGTTGAGTTGTAAAATAGGCCTAATTACAAAAAAGTAGAGTGCTTCGTTTCAGACTACTCAAAACTCATTCATTTATTCATTCATTTTCTTTTCGGCTTAGTCCCTTTATAAATCCGGAGTCGGGATGGAGAATAAACCGCCAACTTATCCAAAATATGCTTTTTTATGCTTTTTTTTTTACGCAGCAAATGGCCTTCCAGCCGTAACCCATCACAGGAAAACACTACAGAAAACTACATAGAGCAAATTATTCTATTTCTTTTTAATTCCACATAGACTGTGAAATTCTTCTTGTATGAAAGAATCTGCCAAATAGTGAAATTGAACATCTAAAAGATAAAACCATGAGATGAGCCATTATGCTGCCAGATAAAAACATGTATACCAAAGCATGCACTGCTTATTTATAATAATCAAACATTTGGCTTTTACCTCATTTCAAAAACACAACCCTTTATAGGGCAGTCAATGTTTTTTTTCCAATGAGTATTTCAATGAGTGCCCTATAAAGTGTTGCGTTACTGGTGTGTTACTCTGGGTTGTTACAAGACTTTTGAATGTTTTTGAATATATCTATTGTCATCCATGTCAATGAAGTTACAATATATGGTTCTTCACCTGATAAAGAATTAAGGCTTATTTGCAAAAGAGTTTCCTCAGAAAAAAAAAAAAAACCTCAGAAAATAAAAACAATCAGTCACTTCCTCTGGGACACAAAAGAGCACTGAGGAAAGAAAAATGTGCTGTTTGGCAAAGAAAGTTCTTAATTTTTCACATTCATCTTTTAAAATCCTTTTAATCTTTCATACGGTGTACTTCAGAGAAGCTGCAGAGGGAAAACATCCACCGTGATCAATTTCACCAGTACACATAATTTATCTCATGGCAGAATGAAAATACTTCTGCATAAAAATACTTCTGGCCTACAAATTTGCCCTGTTTTCCAGTGAAAATATCTAACAAGGCTTTATACAATATATATTTACTTGGAAAACAAAATAGCAAATGATATTAATGATTCATAGTATTAAGTTAAACTCTTTATAAATGAATATGTAATATCACCTCTATTTTGCATCATTAACTGTAACTTGGTGGACAAACAGTTACTTAATACTCATAAACTGAACACTAGACAGAGGAAAAACTTTAATATAAAAACTATAGCAACTGTTTTTGTTTGGTCGAATTATTAAATTCTAAGCTAACTAAAATCAGTTAGTTACAAATTCTCTGTAGTTAAATAGAAGTAATATCTTAGACAAATTTGCAACTACACTGTAAAACACTAAAAAATTTTGCTATTTCACTGTAAAACCCAACTGTCAACCTTATCAAATGAAACGAGTGTAGTTAACTCAAAATTTACTTGATTAAATTGAGTTAATTAAATACCTCATTACTTCAAATTAAATGGAGTAAGTTCACAGTACTCATATAAATTAGTTTTTTTTTTAACTTAAATGGTTTAAAGCAATCAGTTTTCTCAAACAGTTTGAGTTGCCTTAACTTATTGGGTTTTACAGTACTCAGTTGGTTTGAGTTCTCTTCATTTTTTGGGTTGTGCCGTGCTCAAATTGCTTCATGTACTTAACCTGATTAAGTTTACAGTACTCATTAGGAATAGTTTTTGAACTTAAATGGTTTGTTGCAATCGGTTTTCTCAAATAGTTTGACTTACCTTAACTTTTTTGGTTTACAGTGTGGATTTAAATAAGCATTAGCTTAATTAACTACAAATAAAAACGTATGACATACTTCATTTACTGTAAGTAAATATTCCCAATTTTATTTATTTAAATCACGATGTAATTATTGCAAAAAACAAAAGTAAAAAAAAAAACAACAACAAAAAACTAATAAAAATAAGGAGATTAAAGAGATATTTAAATCAATACTATAAAACTTCAAATAAAATGCAATAAAATCTTAAAATAATTATTATTTTACAAACAAAACTGTAAAATTTAAAAATAAAAAGTAACTAACCTTTTATATTTTTTGATAAAAGTATCCTTAAAATACACAGAAAATCTAATTAAAATTAAAATAAAATAATACAATGGGACTATGTCCTGGTAATTAATAATACATTTTAAGGACATTTCCGTTCATTTTAATTCCTTTATATTAATACCCTATATTTTACAGTTTGGCGACGCGGTAGCACAGTAGGTAGTGCTGTCACCTCATAGCAAGAAGGTCGCTGGTTTGAGCGTAGGCTTGGTCAGTTGGCATTTCAGTGTGAAGTTTGCATGTTCTCCCCGTGTTTGCGTGGGTTTTCTATGGGTGCTCCGGGTTTCCCCACAGTCCAAAGACATGCGGCACAGGTGAACTGGGTAGGCTAAATTGTCCGCAGCTTATGAGTGTGAATAAGTGTTTCCCAGTCATGGGTTGAAGCTGGAAGGGCATTCGTTGCGTAAAACATATGCTGGATAAGTTGGCGGTTCATTCTGCTGTGGCGATCCCAGCTAAATAAAGGGACTAAGCCGGAAAAAAAAATGTTATGAATTAATTTTACATTTGTTTTTTATGTAAAACAAAACTATTTTAACATATTTACAGACATAAAAAAATAATAAAAGTATACTACAATTACAATTTGTAAAGATAACATTAAATAAATAATAAAAATAGGATAAGACCAATAAAATACATAAAACAGCATATAAAATATCTTTACCAGCAAAACATAAATCAAATTGAACTAATGTTGAAAAATGCTTTGCATCCTAACTAAATAATAGTGTTTTAAGGAGGGCAGACAATGGCCTACAAAAATGCCAAGGTGAGACTAACACCCATGCAGTGCTTTCTCAAGAGCTACATCCATACCTCAAAACACATGTGTTGCCTAGCAACCAGCAAGACTCAGGCACATTACCATGATCCTTAAAACAGCAGAAGATTTACACAGCATCTCAACTCATGAAAATACATCATCATTATCTCCATAAACACACACACATGCAGGAGCAAACTGTTCTCATCAGTGTGCACATGCTCTGCATAGCAATCTGCCTGAAAACAAACCATTTTGCAGGTTTTGTCTGTGATTAGGATTACATGTGCTCAAACAAAGCCATGCTGGTTTCCTCATGCCTCATGGAGAAACACATCTTTAAGCTAAAGTTAATAAACATTCACACTGACTGACTCCGATTTTACCACATTAAGCGTTAATTAAAAGACATGATTAATTACATGATATGCTAATTCATCAATATGGTTATTCACAAATGGATCAAAGAAGCTCTAAACCATAAAGGTATAATGCAGTTTTACATTTTCATTTTACATATACGTTAGAATGTATTATTTATTTATTCATTCATTCATTCATTCATTTTCTTTTCAGCTTAGTCCTTTAATTTATCAGGGGTCGCCACAGTGAAATGAACCACCAACTTATCCAGCATAAGTTTAATTGATGCAACAACTTTCATATTTATTGCAAGCATGACGCCACTGGCTTGCATAGTTCGGGACCTGTAGAGCTGCGCATCGATGAATTTGCTCTTCAGTGTTTAAACTCAGCAGTGAATATTAAACCACAAACTGAACTTCAACACTAAAAACTGGACTGACACTGTTTCAATTTACTTTAATCCCCTATGTGAAGCTTCTTTGACACAATCTACATTGTAAAAGCGCTATAGAAATAAAGGTAAATTGAACTAAATTTACACAGCAGATGCTCTTCCAGCTGCAATCCAACACTGGGAAACACTCATACACTCTTGCATTCTCACACACACACAAAACGACCAATTAAGCTTAATTCAAATTATCCTTTAGCGCATACCTTTGAACTGTGGGGGAAACCGGAACACCCGGAAGAAACCCACGTGAACAAGGGGAGAACATGCAAACTCCACAAAGAAATGCCAACTGGCCCAGCCGGGACTCGAACCAGCAACCTTCCTGCTCTGAGGCAACCGTGCTACCCACTGCGCCACCGTGTCTATCTATTTAATTATTTATTTGACACTCTTCATAAGTAATAAATGGGTGTGTGTATATAATAATTAATAGATTTTACATTAATTATTTAGATATAATGAATACATTTGTGTAATAAAAGTATAATAAATTATTCATAAATGAACACACTGACTTTTTAAGAATACAGACCAACAAATAATTAACTGATGTTAGAATACATGCAATGCCTTTGTGCTAACAGAATTAACAAGACAATAGGGCCATTTTTCATACCTACACAATTTGCTTTACAAGGGCGTGACACTTTGAGATTGAAAATATTGACAAGAACAGAATACATGAAGCATTAAGGAGAGCATGTAATGCAACCAAGTGGCAAATTTGCTTATTAATTCAATTAATTAACTCATTCACCACACAGCAATGTAAAAACCTGAGGAAACATGCTTAAGAATGATAACGACAATCAGTGAACACATTTACATGCACACCAATACACTGAAAATTAGCTTTGAAATAACCTGTTATCCTGGTTTACATGCAAACCAATAACCCAGTGATGCAAGTAAACCATGTTTACAAGACAGACTTAACAAATCATTTTGTTTCCCTCCCAAAAGATAATTTATGTATCAAACTGGGGGCATTTGATTTATGTCAGTGGTCTTGTTTAATAAATCTTTAAAAACTGAAGAGTATTTTAACATGCCAGTGTGAAACTTATGGCTTATATAGCCTATTTTCTATTTATATATTCTGCTGCATTTTGAATACAGCCCTTCTACTGAAAGAGTACAAGATGAAAACACATTTCAATCATTCTTTGGTTTTTGAAAGCATCTGCATTTGTGGTCTATGGCATCCTCCCTAACTTTAAGCCTTTTTCACTCTTTTCTTTAGGTAGAATTATGTTCCTGACACTATTATTTTGAAGATTCATTATTAAATTCATTATCATTATCAAAAGGTCTTCCAGGCTGAAGTAATGCTAGTTTAAAGGTCCCGAGAAGTGTTTTGAGACACATTGTTATTTGATGTTTGCCAATTGTCTCAACTGAAACAACAAATGAGAGTGAGAGATGGAGAAGCTCCTTATCTTTAAAAAAAAAAAATAATAATAATACATACAAAAAAAAAATTTACTTAGATTTCAACAAATAAGTTTGCAAGCCAGAAAAACTCTTTTAAAAATAAAGTATATATGTAAGTAAGACAAAAAAAAAAACATGAATCAAATGCATTAGCATTTGCAACAGAAATGCAGGAGACATTTTAGCTTGTTTTTACACAAAGATTTACACAAACAAATGTTTGCATAAGATGTTGGACAGTGGGTTAAATTTGATTTTAATAAAAATGGGGGAAAACCTGTTTTTTTTTAACAGGATGAATTAGTGGAATATATAATTAAATGATTATTTAATGAAACATGCTGAATGTGGCCTCTTTTCTGTATTTCTGTATTCATGGGCATTGTTGCATTTATTAAAACAAGTCCTAATACTGCACTACTAAATAATGTATTATGCGTAGCAGAACACACCTTTACTTTGAGCTTGCTTTCCTCTGCTTTTCTTTTCTTTCTTCTTTCGGCTTTGGAAAGATGCCGTTTGATTTGGATGCCTTTTATTTTAAATTAAAATTCAATTAAGATCGATTAAAAAGGCAGCAAGAGTTGTGATGTTATATTACTTAGGACTTTAAGACAATTTTTGGCTTTTTATTCAACGTGAGCAGTTTGGAGAGATACAGTATGTGGAATCAGCGCAGGAATACGTTACATCATTTTAGTTCACCCAATAGACGATCGCGGGCTGGGTTATGCAAAACAGAGTGTGGTGTTGGTGTGTATGTTTCTAATATTTTCTGCTTTTATTTATACTGTTGTTGTGTATTTATTATAGTTTTACGCTACATGTCATGTATTGTAAAGAGCTAATATTTAAATGAAATGTGAAAGTTATTTTTCTTTCTCACCATTGTTGTAAATTGTATCACGTTTAATAAATAGGTTTTGAGCATTGCACAATGCCCTAGGTTTAAACGTTCGCACTTGTCCTTGTGCTTACGTTCACATAAAATTTAAAATAAGATAAGCGGTTGTGGGCCCCTCCAAGAAATGGGGGGTCCTAGGCGACCACCTATTGTGCCAGTAGGCGATGAATCAGTTAATGGAATAGTTTCCCCAATTATAATATTTCTGTCAACATTTACTATCCCTTTACTTCTTTCAAACCTTTGTGAGTTTCTTCCTTTGACTGAGCACAAAAGATGATATTCTGAAAAATGTGGGAAACCTGACTGCCATAATGTCTTAATGCCTACTAAGGAAGTCAATGGTTACAGGTTTTCAGCTTTCTTTATAATATCTTCTTTTGTGTTTGACTCATAAATGTTTGAAACCACTTGAGGTAGAGTAAAAAGTGAGCCAATGTTCATTTTTGGGTGAACTATCCCTTTCATGCTTGAGTTAGAAATCTGCACACAAGCACACTCTGTATATTGAAAGAATTTGGATGTCTTTCAGACTTACGACAGTTTGCTTCATCCGACTTGTCCTTGCAGTCTGGATCTCCATCACATTTCCAGTTGAGATGAATGCACTCTCCGCTCCGGCAGCGAAACTCTCCCATGGAGCAGTGAGGTTTCTGCGGCTCTGTCCTGCGGCTGCACCGCTCCAGAGACTCGTCAGACTTGTCTCTGCAGTCAGGGTCTCCGTCGCAGCTCCACGGTGTTGGGATGCATTCGGAGTCATTGCAGCGAAACTCATGTGGGCCGCAGGTGCTGGCGGTAGCGGCGGTGCACTTCTCCTCATCACTGCGGTCCCCGCAGTCATCATCACCATCACATACGAATGTTGGAGCCACACACATACGGTTGCGACACTGGAACTCTTTCGCAGGACAAGCCTTGGCATCTGGGGGAAAAATGAGAATTTTATACTGTGAATTCCTTTAAATGCATATATAATGTGTAATAACAAAAGGCAACAAAAAATAATAAACAGCCGAGGCCAACCCTTAACTGTAATAACAGATATTTTAACGTTAATTGATGCAATAAATTTCTTATACCTCACAAGCATAACGTTTTCTCTCATGTCTTTATAATGTTATAATGTAGTTTATAATATAAACTAAATGAAAAAGACATCCTTTTTTTGTTTGTAAATTTTAATATGTTTTTTTTTACTTTCTATTATTAATATTAACAGGACTAAGCCGAAAAGAAAATGAATGAATAAATGAATTTAGTATGTATTATTGAAAGTGATTAGGTTACATCCCTGTTTCTTATATGTTTTTTTTACCTTCTAGTAATGAACTACTCATTGCATTAAAAAATTGTCATCATGACAGTTTAGGATCTTTATTCTGAAACAATTCTGTCAAGGCCTGTTCTTCACAATAATTTAACCTCATCTTTTGCATTTATCAGGGTTGACTTAAAAAGCCAACCCTTATGTCATAATTGTGCAGTTAAAAACTGATTGAATTTAATATCTGGAAAAATTCATTTCAAATTCTCTTTCTTGCTGTTTTATAATCAACATCAAAATAAACTGTCAACACACCTTATAAAATTTGAATCAACATTCGTGATATTATATATAAAATGAGTGAAAATTGTGGCTTTAAGAATGTAAAAAAAACGTTAGTAAATAGTGAAAACTACTGTAGGACTGCACAATATATTCATGTGACAAGGCTTTTAAACTCGACGCGTTCACTGTTGAGATATATTAAACGACATGGGGCTATCAAACGAAACAGACTGTAAAATCAGACAGATAAAAAAAGAAGTAGGAAGTTTCTGGAACTACATCATATCATTATTATCATTCAAGTTTTTTAAACTATTTATTTAAATTATTTTAATTTGTTTAAAACTATTTTAGTGATTGTAAAGATTTTTATAACAACTCAAGATTTTTTTCATTTAAACTTTGATGCATCTCTTGCTTTTGTTCATATCTCAGACAGTTCAACTTATTATATTTTATTAAAATATGAATGACAACAGAACATGAGTTGTTCTACTTATATATATATTATTATTATTATTATGGAAAGAACAAAAAAGCAAAAAAAGTACACTTACTAAAAAAGGTTTTTCATTAAGCCCACTCCACAATTCACACATTACTGTCTGGCAAGTTTGTGTCCTCTACTGATATGCTAAACAGGCAATAATGGTCCAACATTTTTGACCATTATCACCAATAAAACCTTGAAACATTGGGCATTAGTATATTGTAAACCAGTTAAAATATTCCTTTCCAGTTGTCAAAAACATAATTTGTTACTCCATTTTAGTTTTGTAACTATTATATACATCAGTGTAAAATCCATGAATGGTGTAAAAACATATTCAGCAATTGTTTATCAAAACTATAGGTCTCCCCTTTTCCATGGCCTCTCTTTTGGGCTTTAATAAACTTCCTTCAAGTTTTTCTAAACTTTTTTAACAAAAAAACTCTTTCTTTCCCACTGCTGTTGTAATTTCTTGACAGAAATTATTGGCCATCTGATTATCCCTATGATTGTGCATGGATGAATCAAAGGAGTCTGTACAGTTGTACATGTTTTAGACAAAATCACTTCAAAGCGATTCATATTCAACCTAAACATAAAACACCGGGCAAACTGTTCAGTCGAGTTTAAAAAAATGTTGTACTCTCCAGCCAAAATCATGTCACGCGCAGCAAAAGCAAACCTCCGCAAACACAGCGACAGCGTCACATTCGTTGCGTTCAAGCGAACATTTCACATTTATATTTGCTCTGTTGTATTTACTAATGGTTGTAATTTTTTATGATTTTTGCAAACACACTGCAAAGAAACGGACTTGATTATACCAATCTATGTAAATCAATGAAATCTTTTCAAATAGAGCTATTCAATTCACCTGGTGAAATTATATTAATATCACAAAATATATTGCAGTAAGACAGATTTGTCCAATATCGTGCAGCCTAAGAAAAAACTATTAAATAGAGACGACATTATAATGTAGACACTATTAAAACACTGTACATCAACTAGTTGTTCAGTACAGTTCTGTAGATACATTATTCTATCTTTCTGAATGCACATGTACAGTGCTCAGCATACTGTATATAAGTACACCCCTCACAAATCTATAATATTATATTTGTGCAATATTAACAATATTATATCTGTGCATACACATTAGATTAGTTAGTACTAAAGCCAAATTTGGAGCTTATCTTACAAAATAGCTTTTGATAGCGGTCCAAAAACTAGTTCACCCAAATTTATATATTATAGAAAAATATTAAATATAAATCTAAAGTTGTAATTGTTTTTGCAATATTTTGCTTGAGTTTAATTGTTTAGTTTGGCGACTAAAATATTATTTTAATAAATATATCTGTTTTATAAATCTGTTTTGGTTAAATGCACCAATATACATTGCCTATAATCACTGAGAAATGGATAAAAATATGCATTTTCAAAATGGGGTGTACTTAATTATGCTGTGCACTGTATCTAACTAAACTATTTGAAAATAAATTAAACAGATCAGAACAGGATTACACACTAAACAGCGAACTAAAATATTAATTTAGCTGTAGTGTGCAATAGAGGTGTAAACCTATACTGGTCTCATGGTTCGGTTCGGTTACGATTATCATGCCTTCGATACGGTTAAATTCGATATCTCGGTGCATCACGGTGCATTGACGATGCTTTCCATATACAGTGTTATATTTTAGGGGGGAGGCTATAACAAGCTGTCTGTATAAACACACAGACACACAGTACCGACTGTCTCTCATTCAAACACATACACAAACATAGACAGCACCAAAGAAACAAACACACACACACACACACTTAAGCCCTCGCAACAGGGAGAGCTCGCGCTGAGTGGAGCAGAAAAACTAACAAAATGGAAAAAAAAACGAAAAAAGAAGCACTTTTCCGACGGTCCCTTACTGAGAGCTCCTCTCAGCGCGAGCTCTCCTGACTAAACACATATTGCGAGGGGTTAAACGGAGCAGTGCTCTTAATGTCGAGCAAAAAAAAAGAAAGACAGCTGTGAAACATAACCAGCTTTGTCTTTTTGTAGGAAACACACGGACCGGCCCTGAGTTGGCTAAGTGTTGTAAATACTCACGCTCACCTCCCTCGCGACAGAGCGCATAGGAGATAAATGACGTCAGTACATAATAACCGGTTATATTTATTACTGAACCGATACCTTATTGTCCGCGTCTGCATTGCGCTGCACCAAAGAATCAATTAATTTTGACACCCCAAGTGTGAAACAACGCCAACAAAGCCCAATGCCAAACAATGTTCTTTTACTTAACGCTGGCAGAAACCAAACCAGCGTTATCACCATCACTGTGAAATGACTGAATAACATTGATAAATGTTCGCAGGAAATATGGCAAATGTAGCATGAGCTCTGAGGTTTTCAGTGCTGATGTGAGCTCCGTGACCTCACTGATTCTACTGTTCGGCGGATGACCCCGAGGTTCCCACTTCAGTCCCACACTGGCGACAGACACTAAATGGGCTTAACTGTGCTGTAGTAAACGCCTGTCCATTCTTTAATGGGGTCAAACACCCCGCCGGAATAACCGTCCCGAAGAGCTGTAAGGCCACTGGGTATTACATTTACGAAACTAGCCGCCGTGACAAGGATTTGAAATGGCTTACGAGCATGTGATCTGGTGCCAGCCCGTTTGAGCGGATGGGGTGAGAGAGAATCGATTAGGACTGTATGTGACTTTGTGTCGATAAACCTGTAAATATGTAAAGTGTCTGCAAAGAGCAGCTGGGGCTCGTAAAACACTTTCAGCGTCAAAATGGTGACATTATCAAAATTGTATTGCCGGACTCGAAATCAATGTTATTTGTGCTGCTCACAGAAAGGTCATTCTTGTTGTTCATTGCTACACTTTAGCTGATTCGTATTTCATATTTCTGCCACCTACGCTGGGTGCTTTTGAAGCCAATTACAATAATGCTCAATGAGATGTGTTGCTAATTGTGTTTTTGCAAAGCTGATTAGTCAACAAGCATCTAATTGGGTAAAAAAAAAAAATCCTGCTTGTAAAATAACCTGTGTTGTCAAACACTCAAAGGTCTCTTCAATGACTATTGAATATCTGAGGGGAAAGGGTGAAATAACATCTCCTGGAATGACACTTGTCGGACAAACTTACGGTTGAAATATGTAGACACTATCTAGCGACATTTCTCTTCCCTCAAGGTCAAGGTGGATAACAAACATATATGTTGTTAAAAGAAAAGAGAATGATTGGGTGTTTCTTGTGTGCACAGCGCATTGGATGGAAGGTTGTGTTTGCTCTAACCAGGAGGAGATTGGATTGGCTGACCCTGCTCTTCTCTCGAGGGACAAGAAGGGCAGCAGTGAAAATGAAAAGGTGCTCGGCCTGTGATGTAGACACCAGCCTAAAACAACATCCTCTCAAAGAGCAACAGAACAAACGCAGAGAGCTTTATCAGACGCAGTGAACTCAGACTGTACCGCCACATTCCAGCTGGAATGAAAATCAAATACTCTGACTCCAGAAACTTTCAGAATATGTGAACAGAATGTGTAAAATATATTCACATACTGAATAAATAATAAAATAAAATAAAATGCCTCAGTAATAGTCTTGAAACAAATTATATGAATCTGCTTATAATGTGATAATACCAATCTCACACAATCTTTCCTTTTTTAGTTTTTGGTTTATACATTGGAGTATAAGCCATATTTTACACATTTATTTACAATAAAGGACAAATCCTTTGATCTCAGTCTGATCTCAGTCATTTAGTCATGAACTTGTCTTTTATTTCTTTACTTCTGCTTTAATTACACATTTCTATTATATTTTAACATGTACATACACGTTTACCAGATACAACA